CTCCTTCCCCAAAAGTCACTCACCCGTGCTGTTCCTGTAGAAGCTCATCTCGATTGGCTGTCAACCGATGATGAGCCTGATCCTCGTAAAATGAGGATGCCAGAATAATGCTGCCAATCTTCTATATCTTCTATATATAAAAAATGGAAACTCAGACCCCCATTTTCTGGGAAGGACTTTTGCTTTACGGCTTCCTCCTTTAATAAGGGTGCTGCGAAGCGTCAGGCGGCAAAACTCGTAGCCGTGCTATCGCTCCAGGTTTGCCTGCTATTCTCCGATTTACCTCGTATGGCTAAAATGTCTGCATTTCGTCTTTTCTCCCAGCTTCGCTCCGTGACATTGGCATTTTAGATGAGGACCACTTTTCGTGAAAGTTGCCTCACGTTGGACCCATTTTTCTTTCTTTTTTCGAAAGAATTTCAAAATTTTAACAACATTTATGATTGAGAGATTTTTCTATTTTCCGCCTCTTAAAGGTACCGTCTACTCTAACTTAGGAGTGCGGAGCTTTCGACAGCTTACGATATTAGGACCCCTGCGAAGCCAATGCTCAAATCGCGAGGCAAAATGTCGCTTCGGACGCGAGAATACCGCTTCGGAATGTCGAAGAGGCACGAGAGTGCAATTCGGCACTGCCTCCTCCAGTAATGCCCGCCCCTCCGCTGAAACATCCAGTCCCCGCTGCGGAAAATCGGCTTCGGGCAACAACAGCGAACACACCTCCTTCCCCAAAAGTCACTCACCCGTGCTGTTCCTGTAGAAGCTCATCTCGATTGGCTGTCAACCGATGATGAGCCTGATCCTCGTAAAATGAGGATGCCAGAATAATGCTGCCAATCTTCTATATCTTCTATATATAAAAAATGGAAACTCAGACCCCCATTTTCTGGGAAGGACTTTTGCTTTACGGCTTCCTCCTTTAATAAGGGTGCTGCGAAGCGTCAGGCGGCAAAACTCGTAGCCGTGCTATCGCTCCAGGTTTGCCTGCTATTCTCCGATTTACCTCGTATGGCTAAAATGTCTGCATTTCGTCTTTTCTCCCAGCTTCGCTCCGTGACATTGGCATTTTAGATGAGGACCACTTTTCGTGAAAGTTGCCTCACGTTGGACCCATTTTTCTTTCTTTTTTCGAAAGAATTTCAAAATTTTAACAACATTTATGATTGAGAGATTTTTCTATTTTCCGCCTCTTAAAGGTACCGTCTACTCTAACTTAGGAGTGCGGAGCTTTCGACAGCTTACGATATTAGGACCCCTGCGAAGCCAATGCTCAAATCGCGAGGCAAAATGTCGCTTCGGACGCGAGAATACCGCTTCGGAATGTCGAAGAGGCACGAGAGTGCAATTCGGCACTGCCTCCTCCAGTAATGCCCGCCCCTCCGCTGAAACATCCAGTCCCCGCTGCGGAAAATCGGCTTCGGGCAACAACAGCGAACACACCTCCTTCCCCAAAAGTCACTCACCCGTGCTGTTCCTGTAGAAGCTCATCTCGATTGGCTGTCAACCGATGATGAGCCTGATCCTCGTAAAATGAGGATGCCAGAATAATGCTGCCAATCTTCTATATATAAAAAATGGAAACTCAGACCCCCCATTTTCTGGGAAGGACTTTTGCTTTACGGCTTCCTCCTTTAATAAGGGTGCTGCGAAGCGTCAGGCGGCAAAACTCGTAGCCGTGCTATCGCTCCAGGTTTGCCTGCTATTCTCCGATTTACCTCGTATGGCTAAAATGTCTGCATTTCGTCTTTTCTCCCAGCTTCGCTCCGTGACATTGGCATTTTAGATGAGGACCACTTTTCGTGAAAGTTGCCTCACGTTGGACCCATTTTTCTTTCTTTTTTCGAAAGAATTTCAAAATTTTAACAACATTTATGATTGAGAGATTTTTCTATTTTCCGCCTCTTAAAGGTACCGTCTACTCTAACTTAGGAGTGCGGAGCTTTCGACAGCTTACGATATTAGGACCCCTGCGAAGCCAATGCTCAAATCGCGAGGCAAAATGTCGCTTCGGACGCGAGAATACCGCTTCGGAATGTCGAAGAGGCACGAGAGTGCAATTCGGCACTGCCTCCTCCAGTAATGCCCGCCCCTCCGCTGAAACATCCAGTCCCCGCTGCGGAAAATCGGCTTCGGGCAACAACAGCGAACACACCTCCTTCCCCAAAAGTCACTCACCCGTGCTGTTCCTGTAGAAGCTCATCTCGATTGGCTGTCAACCGATGATGAGCCTGATCCTCGTAAAATGAGGATGCCAGAATAATGCTGCCAATCTTCTATATCTTCTATATATAAAAAATGGAAACTCAGACCCCCATTTTCTGGGAAGGACTTTTGCTTTACGGCTTCCTCCTTTAATAAGGGTGCTGCGAAGCGTCAGGCGGCAAAACTCGTAGCCGTGCTATCGCTCCAGGTTTGCCTGCTATTCTCCGATTTACCTCGTATGGCTAAAATGTCTGCATTTCGTCTTTTCTCCCAGCTTCGCTCCGTGACATTGGCATTTTAGATGAGGACCACTTTTCGTGAAAGTTGCCTCACGTTGGACCCATTTTTCTTTCTTTTTTCGAAAGAATTTCAAAATTTTAACAACATTTATGATTGAGAGATTTTTCTATTTTCCGCCTCTTAAAGGTACCGTCTACTCTAACTTAGGAGTGCGGAGCTTTCGACAGCTTACGATATTAGGACCCCTGCGAAGCCAATGCTCAAATCGCGAGGCAAAATGTCGCTTCGGACGCGAGAATACCGCTTCGGAATGTCGAAGAGGCACGAGAGTGCAATTCGGCACTGCCTCCTCCAGTAATGCCCGCCCCTCCGCTGAAACATCCAGTCCCCGCTGCGGAAAATCGGCTTCGGGCAACAACAGCGAACACACCTCCTTCCCCAAAAGTCACTCACCCGTGCTGTTCCTGTAGAAGCTCATCTCGATTGGCTGTCAACCGATGATGAGCCTGATCCTCGTAAAATGAGGATGCCAGAATAATGCTGCCAATCTTCTATATCTTCTATATATAAAAAATGGAAACTCAGACCCCCATTTTCTGGGAAGGACTTTTGCTTTACGGCTTCCTCCTTTAATAAGGGTGCTGCGAAGCGTCAGGCGGCAAAACTCGTAGCCGTGCTATCGCTCCAGGTTTGCCTGCTATTCTCCGATTTACCTCGTATGGCTAAAATGTCTGCATTTCGTCTTTTCTCCCAGCTTCGCTCCGTGACATTGGCATTTTAGATGAGGACCACTTTTCGTGAAAGTTGCCTCACGTTGGACCCATTTTTCTTTCTTTTTTCGAAAGAATTTCAAAATTTTAACAACATTTATGATTGAGAGATTTTTCTATTTTCCGCCTCTTAAAGGTACCGTCTACTCTAACTTAGGAGTGCGGAGCTTTCGACAGCTTACGATATTAGGACCCCTGCGAAGCCAATGCTCAAATCGCGAGGCAAAATGTCGCTTCGGACGCGAGAATACCGCTTCGGAATGTCGAAGAGGCACGAGAGTGCAATTCGGCACTGCCTCCTCCAGTAATGCCCGCCCCTCCGCTGAAACATCCAGTCCCCGCTGCGGAAAATCGGCTTCGGGCAACAACAGCGAACACACCTCCTTCCCCAAAAGTCACTCACCCGTGCTGTTCCTGTAGAAGCTCATCTCGATTGGCTGTCAACCGATGATGAGCCTGATCCTCGTAAAATGAGGATGCCAGAATAATGCTGCCAATCTTCTATATCTTCTATATATAAAAAATGGAAACTCAGACCCCCATTTTCTGGGAAGGACTTTTGCTTTACGGCTTCCTCCTTTAATAAGGGTGCTGCGAAGCGTCAGGCGGCAAAACTCGTAGCCGTGCTATCGCTCCAGGTTTGCCTGCTATTCTCCGATTTACCTCGTATGGCTAAAATGTCTGCATTTCGTCTTTTCTCCCAGCTTCGCTCCGTGACATTGGCATTTTAGATGAGGACCACTTTTCGTGAAAGTTGCCTCACGTTGGACCCATTTTTCTTTCTTTTTTCGAAAGAATTTCAAAATTTTAACAACATTTATGATTGAGAGATTTTTCTATTTTCCGCCTCTTAAAGGTACCGTCTACTCTAACTTAGGAGTGCGGAGCTTTCGACAGCTTACGATATTAGGACCCCTGCGAAGCCAATGCTCAAATCGCGAGGCAAAATGTCGCTTCGGACGCGAGAATACCGCTTCGGAATGTCGAAGAGGCACGAGAGTGCAATTCGGCACTGCCTCCTCCAGTAATGCCCGCCCCTCCGCTGAAACATCCAGTCCCCGCTGCGGAAAATCGGCTTCGGGCAACAACAGCGAACACACCTCCTTCCCCAAAAGTCACTCACCCGTGCTGTTCCTGTAGAAGCTCATCTCGATTGGCTGTCAACCGATGATGAGCCTGATCCTCGTAAAATGAGGATGCCAGAATAATGCTGCCAATCTTCTATATCTTCTATATATAAAAAATGGAAACTCAGACCCCCCATTTTCTGGGAAGGACTTTTGCTTTACGGCTTCCTCCTTTAAAGGCAGTGTGTCAGCAGATTCTCCGTTTTCGGGAGAACTACACATGAAAGTAGCGGGCTGCCTAACTAAGCAATTCCCCAATTTGCAGCCAAATCCGTGAACTCCCCGCTGAGAAAACCCCGCTTGATTCCGCTCGCGCGCCGCAATCTCGCTCGCGTCGGACGAGTTGACCCTCCGCCTGTCGTGTGGCGCATTGTTTGGAGAAATCGTAAACACTTTTGAATATTTCTGACGTTCTTGTTTTCTATTTTCAGTTCTCTGCATAGTCCTAGGTTTCTGCTTTCTGTGTACTCAATATTTTCAAAGAAATTAAAATTAAACGAGTAATTTTTTCGGTTTAGAGGAGAACTAGTATCTTTTTTGCAGAGGTTCGACTGAACGTTAACTCTTCAGCTTGTCCATGTCATCACAACTACGCTAATCGAAGATTTCAGTTCTGAAATTGAAACAATGTTTACAGTCCTTAGATCCAGTTTGATTGCAGATAAAGGTACGTAGTAAACAGTTCACCTTCCGTTAGCAGTGAATAAGCACATAGTGTGGTTTTATTGCTTTATCATTTCCAATAACTTTCTTGTTATTTGCGTTGAATGCGCCAACGTCTAGGCTTTATCAAAGTTAAACCAACTACTCATTTGTTGGCCGGCCTCAAAGTTGCCATAAAATCATCGACAAGAAGGCTATGGGGGTAAGTCTCACATGTCCTTTTCTCTTTAAAATTTTTGGCTTCATACACACAGGATGATCTTCCACGAGTTGCGACAGAGCTTCACGAACTTAGGACTTTGTCACATCAGAATTTTTGTCGGCTATACCAGTTTATTGAGACGGAAGATAAATACTATATCATAATGGAGGTATGCTTTTTTCTGGTTATAGTTTAATAGGCACGATTTTATTTTTGAACCGACTTCTCCATTCGCGATTTCAGTACTGTAGTGGAGGTGAGATGTTCGATTACATTGCAAGGAAGGAGCGACTTGAGGAATCAGAAGCTCGTCACTTTTTTCGTCAACTAGTCCAAGCTACGGCTTATGTCCACTCTATGGGTTATCCACATAGGGACTTGGCCTTTCTGGTAATGCCGTCAAAAAGCAGTGATGGGATGTTTTCGACTATTTTCATTTTGGAAGAAAGAAAAGGTGAGTAGTATCATCCTTCACTTTACTCGGTTTTGATATATACAAAGGCGGAAGAGAGGGGCATTAACTAAAATTGTTAATATTCCTCTCATTAGAAACGTGGCTCCAGGCATACTACACGCGATTTAACCCAAATTGATTACAAATGCGCATCGTTAACTTTCGAGGACTGGTAATATGCCCCCAAATCTTAAGAAAATGTCGCGTTTCCAAGTCGCGTCTCTATTGAAATCACGCGAAGCTTGCCCGGGACCTATTTCACGTGAGATTCTGATGTGGACCTTTAGAGTTTCAAATGAACCATTCACCATATCAAACGGTTAAATTGCAAGTTGCACGGACGAGAACATCGTGAAAGTGCTCCTAGACCAAATTACTATACCATGAGAAGGCACAATCAACAAAGGATTCTTTGATTGCGTACTTTGCTCACAACCCCTGCCAGAAACAGGGTTCTGTAGATCTTATGTCATTGTTAATAATTGTGTCATTGTAGAATCAATGTCGAACATACCGTGTTTGCCTATGTCGGGCTACTTTCATCTGGTTATGATCAAGTAAATATTTACTTTGTCCCACCGATGTGTTGTTATACTTCACCTAATTTATGATTGATTCACAACTTCAGCAAATGACAAAATGCTTTGAGTTTTCCCTAATTTAGAAGCACAACAATTGTAAGAGATAGAGAGATAAAGCAAGAGAATATTCATTAGAATTGTAGCCAAATACAAACAAACGAAACGCTAGAATAAGATCAAATGAGGAAGAGTTCGGTAAAGTACAACAAAAACTCTCAGACACCATTTACACGATGCCGTTTTGGCCGGGACTGGGTAGCGATTAGCAGCAGCCGTTGGAGCTACAATAGCTTTTGAAAGCCTGGTTTTGATCACGAACCCATCGCACCCATCGCACTTGTGTGGCTTGGTTTTATGAGACTGTAAAAAACGCATTAGATGATTGTTACCATCAGAGAAGTATGATAAAAACTGAATTAGAAAGCGCCTCTTTTCGTATAATCTTTGTCTTGTCAAACACACATACGTCTGTCTCAAATGAAAACCAATTGAAGCAAAAACGGGTGCGATTCGTGAGGCAGGTCTCATACGAGTGCACATTTTTGCAGCAAAGAACTCTGTATTCAAAAGTGAAGCAGCATAGATAAAGGCAAAAATTTTGCACACAGCATAGTTGTCCAATGAAATAATAAACTAATCATTTGTTATTTATTAGAATGTAAGTAAAAGTACAATAAAATAGTTGAACATGTCCGCCAAAAGCTAGGTAAGAAGAAAGACAAAGACAACCTTCTGATGTTCAGCTGCAATCCTGAAGATTATGCTTGGTTTTGTAGACTGGTCTACGTATGCGGCAGCGAGATTTGTCTAATTCACGATAGCTGGTTCGACACACACGTACATCCTGAAAAGGAAACAACTTTTTTGGAGAGTAAGTTGATGCAAAAATTGACAAACCTTTTGAAACTGAGCTGATTATCATAAGCTCCGAAATTACTGCGCACGCCAAGTAGATGGTGTACTCAGAAATGAACCCTAGAAATGTCCGATCTCACAATCACCAAAGATCGTCTCCTGCTTACTTGCAACAATCATTGAAAGCTCGCACGTGAGCTTAGTACCTTCCTTGACTGATTTTGATAGACGAAGATGGTCTAGGAAAACCACGGGTAAGATCTACATGAGTTGATATTGTACAAGGTACACGGATTCTATCTCATCTCATTCATCACATCAGAAAAGCCAATCAAAATCTTTTTGATAATTGTCGGCAACCTAATGTTTACATGAACAGTTATGAGACATTTATTAGAATCTAGTGTTTGCACACCACAGCCAATGCATAGACGGTGATTATAACACAATGTCAATTCCAGTCATTAGCTCAAAGATCAGAGACTCTCTAGTTCTAAGTATGTGGATAAGTAAACACAAAAAAGCGAGTAGACCGTGAATGGCATGTACTATGCTTTCCACCTATGATTCGACGTTATTGTCTCAAAAATCTCGGTGTAAAGAATCAACACAGCCAAAAAAGATTAGTACAAGACATCAATGCAAATATTGCAAAGAAACCGTTTTCACATTCACAACTACAAATGGAATAGACGCATACAATTGACACGCCTACAGTAATGTGTTGCTAAAGCATTGCTCCAAAGAAACTAATTACTGTTCACTGGATACCTTCGCTTCTGTTCAGAAAAAGCCTCGTATAAGGTTTTTCTAAGAACCTTGGAGTGACGAAATGAAACGGCTCCAACAGTTCCAACAACAACATGGTGATCGCATGATAGGGTTACCTTCCTGGAAATAATGCAGATTCAACAATTATCTGAACCACTGATGCCTTATTCTCAATATAAAAAAAGCAAGAACAAATAGTTGGAAGGGATGCCGCATGTAGGGTTCACTTTTGGTAAACAAACCAAAGGAAAACCTAGAAGTTGCAGGTAAGTTATGAAAAAATATAACTTACCCATTTTCTTTGTATGGAATTGTTTTCCCCTGATCTCCACTGATGGCAAGAATACATGACTATGAAGAATTCATTATAGCTTCACTGGAATCGGCGAAGCTGCCAAACATGCCAAGATCGAGACGACAGAAGTATCACCTTAGAACAATTTTCAAAAGCTGGACATTTCAAAGTTCTTGTTCTCACTTGAAACTACTGTGGCTGAAGCTTGCTCTCTTGTGTGCAACTGTCTTTTTCATCTCAGCGGAGATAGCCCAGAGTTCCTAGAATTGCAACTATTGAGCCTAGAAAGGCAAGCAAAGATTACTGTTGTAATCTTTGCTATTACTTTAGCATTTGCATTGATAGCAGCGCTCACATCAAGATTGTTATCATGGGAGATGAAAGGATCCATTCAAGAGCCGTTTCCTTTTGAAATGCGAAGGCGTGCCAGCGCAATACCTAGCAAAACAACGTAAAATAAAAACAAATCACAAAGGAAAAGTAGAATACGACAACAAAACTTCGTAACTTCAAGCATGTCAAAAGTGTGAACGCATGAAAATGTTCCATAGCACTAACCTTGACAATGGAATCATTGATGGAGATCTTAGCAGATTTACCCGCGAAATCCTTTGTAGGAGAACATTCAGCTTTCCGCAAATTCTAAAAACTATATTTCAGAAAATTGACAAAAGATCGTAATCTGGGACAATGTTAATTGAATTCTAAACTGATTTCTTATTGAAAATTATGATAGCTAAGCGAGAAAAGATAATAAAACCCAAAGAGACAAACAAAGATACACCTAGGAGTAATTTTGTGATTGATAAGCGTCAGACTGACATGGTAAGCACACTGCAGGTCACTAACACTAGTAAAAGTGTCTTCCAATAGAAAATATAACCAAAAACTTCATCTGGAGAAAAAAATAGCCTTACTCGAGAATGTTGAGGAGTATAGTACGCTCTTGGAGTACGCCGTTGTCAGACTTATGCGTTAGAAGCCACAACAAAGTGGGACTGAAATGACCTCAACGGTGCTGTTATGTTGACGTTTTCTGCCATTCTTTCTATCTACTTGAAACTACGAAAAACAAAAAAATGGAACTGAGAAAAAAAATCTAAAATATGAAGCAACTAGAAAATCACCTTTAGAATACCACCTGCCGCGTGTCTCCCCTGTGACAACATCTTCTAAGCTGGTGACAGGAAATTTAGCAAATTTAGCAACTGAATCCAGTTGTCTCGAAGCTGTAATCAAAGGTTGAATGAAAGAGAAAAGGAAACGGGAAGATATTTGAAAATTGCTAAGCACTTACGTGGAAATATATGCAACTTGCGCAACGAACAATTGTATATGAGTGATTCTTTGCATATTACTTGTCTGATATTTTTGCGATTTCGTTAGTATTTTCGTTTTGATATTTGTATTTTTGATTTTTCAATTTATTTTTTATTATTAGTTTTTCCATTTATTTTGAATTTTTAATTTATATTTTTTGGTTTTTCATTTTTTATTTTATTTTTTAAATTTATTTTTTGTTTTTAATTATTTTTGTTATTGTTCACATTTTCCTAATTCTAATTATTCTTTTTCAGAATTCCTTCGAACGCCTCTCAACGACGCATGCGACAACTCACCCAGAAGGCGAGATTTTGGGAAGCTAGACGAAGCATCATTCCGATGTTGTTATAAAACTCACCTACTTTCAATAAAAAATTTATTAAATAGTTGATTTGTGAAGGAAAACAGTACATATCCTGTTCATTACCTGTGAAAGCCACTACAGTTTTCTCATCAAGAATTTTTCAGACGCAATCTTCGCAAGCATGATCAAATATTACAATTGCTTTATCTGCGGTAATAGAGTGGAGCAGAGTCTGACCACGCGCTCTTCTAAAAATCAAGCGCACAACGCTATTTTCTTAGCGAGTTTGAGGATGTTTTCATCCGTCGCACAGGAATTACTGCAGCTATATTTTGCCAGCTTTAAACAAACACAGAAGTTCCTATGCGTTACTCATTTCATAAATACTGTAAGTTGTATTCAGGTGTACTCAAAAAGCCAAAAATTCACACTTAGGCACAATCTCTGTTGTCGGAAATAACTTTGAATGGAGGACGATTGTGCCGTAGAAGGGATGGAACATACTACCTCGACGCGCAAGAAATACCAGCAGAACTGCTTCACAATCTAAATATTGCAATCAACTTTTTTGCAGTCAGTTTTACTCTTGTAAATGGCTTCTTTTTTCGACGGAAAAACCTCTATCAGGATGATATCGCGGTGAGCAGCGTTGAAGTTAACAACTACCTCAACTTCTACATGAAGAGATTCTTCAGTAGCAAGGGGTACTGGACTGTCCCGCCATCTCACCAAGAGGCGGTGGCCGAACTAGAGGTAGTCAGCGTTTCTAGAAAAGACGCCATGACTGCTGCATTCAGGCAATCATGGAAGAGCCCTCGGAGGAGGCAGTGGAACCGGCAACTCCTGGTCGCGCTCATGAGAATGTAGAAGAGTCCCCGTTCAACACACCGCTGCTTAAAAAAGGAGATTCAACATCCTCCAAGGCCACGGTTTGAGAACGAAACAAAACTATTCCTTATTCGTATAAGCCTTAGCTTCGATTTACTTCATATTCAGACTGGTTCCTTGTATTCACCGGGAAGGGATGAGAGCTCAGATAGTGAAGATGATGAAGAAGATGACCAGCTTCTACTGAAGGAGACGGACCCGCATTTACTAGACGCTTATTTCCTTGTTCAAGGGAAAAAGCTTCTTGAGCTGCTTCAAATCAACATGTCTGGCTCTGAGAATAACGCGAAAAGAATGCGCTTGATGAGAAAGGCTTCCTGTCCCATCATTATTTACGTGACAGAAGGTCCCAGACCGGAAAAGAAGAGATGGGAAGGACAAGATAAGCTGAGCGCTCGCAAAAACGATAAGCAGTTCGTTGGAAACATTCTGACATGTACTGCTGCTGTCACCACCGGTGTCAGGATGAATGTAATGACCATTCCATATTTGTTCTTGCAAAAAAAGCAAAAATTCTTGCAGAAGCTCATACAATGGGCGGGAGAGTTTGGGCTAGCTATTCCTTCCCAGTCGACCTTCAATCGAATTTTTTATGAAATGCGCCCCTCGATAAACACCGTCTATCAGAAACATCAGGATAATACCTTACAGCGCATAAAAGCCGCATACGAGGTGAAGAACCATCGCGCACGGTACTGACCTGAATCCAAAATGCAATTTCAGCGCGAAGGGGAGCCCACACCGTGGGATATTGCGGTGGACGGGGCATACGACTCCAGGGGATTCAGCGCAGAGTTCTGCAAAGTTTTGGCTGTAGATATGAAGACAAAACTCTGCATTCACACTGAAGTAGTGGAGCGCCGTCAAACAGGTTATAACCAGATTGCTTGAGAAAAATAGCTTTATCGGATTTATATTATAGGTGGGAAGAGCGGACTAATGGAAAAATTGGGGTTCCACAATATGTTGCGATGGTTCCGGTCTCAACGTATTCCCATACGTTCAGTGTCAACTGACCGTAACCTTATGTACCAAAAGGAGATAGGGGAGTATAACACAGAATTTGGTGAGAACGTAAGGTGGTACTTGGACCCCTGGCATCTGGCTAGGCGACTCGAGAAGCAACTCAGGGCGGTATGAACTGAACTCCTAGTGGCATCTTTCCTCTGAATAACTTAGACGAGATGTAGGCATCCATGCGGAGTCAATGCGAGAGTATACGAGACTGGGCGGATGATCTGAAGACCCATCTATACACTGCCATAAAAGAAGGAGCAGAAGCTGGAAGTGGCGACCGCATAAAGCATGTTTTCAACAGCTGTTTGAAACATGTTGCCGATGTTCATGAGTGGACGGAGGTAAACTTATTGTCGAATTTACACAAACTTTAGGTGGTATAACTTGCAGGATAGCAATACGGGACCAGTAAAAAAGTGCTTGCACAAGCCGATAGCTCCGAATGAAGAGAGAGGGAAACGAACAATCTCCACTGGAAGTGTCGCTCACGAAAAACTAAAAGAGATAGTGCTCCAATCAACTTTTCAAAATGATATCATGATCGCGAGCCCCTATGGTGGCACAAGCCAGTGTGAGACGAAAAATTCTGTTGACAGACTTTACTGTCCAAAGGAGCTTTTCTTGTAAGTTTTGCCATAAGAGTGTTTGGAAAATGGCCACAACCAACTACACTTAGGATTTTTTAGACCACGAACGACTTACCCCCTTTATGTAAAGATGGCTACTTTGCATTTGAATGCTCTCCGAGAGGCTGAGTTGAACGGGGAAAGGGTAGTGGAATCCAGGACACGGATCAAGCGGAAGTTCAAAGAGAGAACAAGTGAACTAAAGAAAAAGACGCCCATACAACACCTATGGAGGAAAGAAGTACACTTGTCATACGTTTCGACGAAACTACCGCGACAAACATCATACGGCGAGATGATGGACACGACGTAATAAACTCCAGTCTCCTCCGTTACCAAATACACAAACTAAACAGATTATCGCCTACTCTGACATTGAAGCGTGCGGCGCGCACTCCTCATGTAGCGCTTTGTAACGAGCCGAACGATGAATGCGCGCGCCACTGCGCGAATGCGCGCGGCCTGCACGGTATGGACAGCGCTACGACCGCTAGCTACCGAAGAATAAGTCCTTCATGAAGCTTCCATTTCTCTTTTCGCCGGCCGTGCGCATCCTCAACTTCATACTCCAAAAAGTTGAAATTCAAATATAGAAAATTCGAAAACTTGAATTTGAATTCAAATCAAAGTCAATACCGATTCGGGAAGCTATCGAGGGATAACCTGTGTAGAAACAGACATCAGTGTTCCTGCAATTACAAGTACCAAGAACTGACAAGCCAAATCCACAAATGACGGAGCAGCCTAATCACAGCGTTGCACCTCATGCGGTTCCCCATTACGCTTACAGCGTGTGAGAATTGCATGTGTGCAGGCCGGACGACGGGAACATAGTGGGCGTGAGGCGTGCGCTAAGGATCATGGCGCGCGGGCCGCACGCTACGTGACCTCACATCTGACCGCACTGCTGGCCGTCAACAAGCGCGCGCCGCACGCACGGAATGTCAAATTAGTACCTTACGCAATGAGCCACTAATGACCAAAAAGCGCCTTTGGTAACGGAGTGAGAGGGTCTGTCCTTTCTAACTTCGTTACTTACAAAAAAAATTTTCAGGTGAGCTTCTTCCCGTGCTATGTCCACGAGAGAGATCTATCAAGGAAGATTATTATTCTACCTTCTTTTGATTAACAAAAATATTACTTGGAGGCTCGAAGTGTTGTTGCAACACTTCAACCAGCTTCTTCTTCTTTTTGTCCTCTGTTATCATATAAACAATCCAAAACAGAGGTACAGTACTCAACTAATCTACTGCAGATATTTGCAAACGCTCACATACCAAAAATTGACGATAAAGATAACCAAATCTTACCTGTTACTCTTTCAGTTGGTCGTCCAGCGGATCAGATGTAAATCACTGCAGGACGCCATAAATAAGCACGAGCTAATCGCTCGACAGCAGGTGACATCGTGGCAGTGAACATGACAGTCTAAAATTATTTCTTCGTTTCAAATTTTTCCTATACAAAGGGTGCTGACAGCAGCCCTTTGTATAGGAAAAATTGAATGAATGAGAAAAAATTTTTTTCATGGTCAAACACTTCTTTCAAAATGGAGCTTCCACAACGAGTGCCAATTACCACTGACATTACAAATTTCAGAGAAAAAAAAACGAGAAAGGTTAACCTGGCGATATTTCTCCTTTGTCGGAAAGTTATTCATCAGAGCTTCTTCATGCTCTATGTCATCGGTGTCAGGCTTTTAATTAGATACAGGCAAATACCCGAGACCTGAAATTTACCAGTACTTTGCGCTTGATAAAGAATAGAGAAATCTAATGACAGCAACTCTACAAACCTTTGCGCTTCGGGTTCAAATCCCATATCAGGCATTCGGTCTGCCTCATCAAGAATTACGTATGAGCACTGGTTTAGCGAAAGACATCTATTTTCCAGCACTTCGACAAGACGTCCAGTTGTAGCAATCACGACATGAAAAGCCAATAATAGAAGTACGTGATAACGCTCAGAACTATAACTGTACCTCGACGCTCATGCGCAATTTCATTCCCTTGTCTTCACGTGAAGCACGTCCGATAACAGAAACAGTTCGAATCTTCAACAATTCTCCAAAGTTGTTCGTTTCTTCTTCACTCTAAAAGCCAAGGATAATGGGAATGGCTCCATTTCATGGTCGAGCATACTAACCTGCTCCCCAACTATCTCATTGGAGCCAAAATGACGGCGTATGGACCTTGATCATAATGTTCTTGCCTATCTAGCTTCGGTAAGCCAGTGATCCACACCAAGTAACCAAGTAGCCAAGTATAGTAGCCAAGTATAGCGACAACATGACCAGATAAATGAAACTCAAAAAAAATCTATGTTTGACTATCAAAAAGCTGTCAATTATTTGAAAAGGACGCGAAAAAGTAATGGTTAGCATTCATAAGGTAAGGCGATAAAGATGACATCTCTATCTCTCTATGCGGAAAGATAGCGTGATTCACTGTTAGGTGAAATTACCTCTCACTCACTGAGAAGACTAGCCAGAAAGATAAATAGCTGTCATTTTTGCCTGCGTAATGATGTAAGTCGAAAAAAGCAGAAAACTCGTCACGGAAAATAGACAGCAAGTGGCATGTCATATACTGGAAAAATATTCAGGTGACGACATAGAACACAAAGAGCTCGGTTATAACCATACGAAGAAAAAATGGGTGAAAAAAATGATCATCCGTCTTTTGAAAGCAAATGAGAAACACTGTATATTACAAAGAATTAATCAAGAATGACTGATCAGAAGAGAAGTATGCATGAAATAACGAATTGCGAGTGTCTTAATTCATGACGACATTTCAAACGACTACCTCTCCACTCTGCGTCTCTGCCCTGCCGTGGAGGAGCGCAGGGGGTACAGCTCGTCCACGGTGCTTGCTCGGGGCCTCCAGAAAACGAGGTTTTTGGGAAAATCGTGCGATTTCAAAGCCCTAAGATGTTACATAGGGTCCTATAGGTTTGTAATCTACGAAAATCTCGACAACGAAATTCTGGTGAGACACTGCCTTTAATAAGGGTGCTGCGAAGCGTCAGGCGGCAAAACTCGTAGCCGTGCTATCGCTCCAGGTTTGCCTGCTATTCTCCGATTTACCTCGTATGGCTAAAATGTCTGCATTTCGTCTTTTCTCCCAGCTTCGCTCCGTGACATTGGCATTTTAGATGAGGACCACTTTTCGTGAAAGTTGCCTCACGTTGGACCCATTTTTCTTTCTTTTTTCGAAAGAATTTCAAAATTTTAACAACATTTATGATTGAGAGATTTTTCTATTTTCCGCCTCTTAAAGGTACCGTCTACTCTAACTTAGGAGTGCGGAGCTTTCGACAGCTTACGATATTAGGACCCCTGCGAAGCCAATGCTCAAATCGCGAGGCAAAATGTCGCTTCGGACGCGAGAATACCGCTTCGGAATGTCGAAGAGGCACGAGAGTGCAATTCGGCACTGCCTCCTCCAGTAATGCCCGCCCCTCCGCTGAAACATCCAGTCCCCGCTGCGGAAAATCGGCTTCGGGCAACAACAGCGAACACACCTCCTTCCCCAAAAGTCACTCACCCGTGCTGTTCCTGTAGAAGCTCATCTCGATTGGCTGTCAACCGATGATGAGCCTGATCCTCGTAAAATGAGGATGCCAGAATAATGCTGCCAATCTTCTATATCTTCTATATATAAAAAATGGAAACTCAGACCCCCATTTTCTGGGAAGGACTTTTGCTTTACGGCTTCCTCCTTTAATAAGGGTGCTGCGAAGCGTCAGGCGGCAAAACTCGTAGCCGTGCTATCGCTCCAGGTTTGCCTGCTATTCTCCGATTTACCTCGTATGGCTAAAATGTCTGCATTTCGTCTTTTCTCCCAGCTTCGCTCCGTGACATTGGCATTTTAGATGAGGACCACTTTTCGTGAAAGTTGCCTCACGTTGGACCCATTTTTCTTTCTTTTTTCGAAAGAATTTCAAAATTTTAACAACATTTATGATTGAGAGATTTTTCTATTTTCCGCCTCTTAAAGGTACCGTCTACTCTAACTTAGGAGTGCGGAGCTTTCGACAGCTTACGATATTAGGACCCCTGCGAAGCCAATGCTCAAATCGCGAGGCAAAATGTCGCTTCGGACGCGAGAATACCGCTTCGGAATGTCGAAGAGGCACGAGAGTGCAATTCGGCACTGCCTCCTCCAGTAATGCCCGCCCCTCCGCTGAAACATCCAGTCCCCGCTGCGGAAAATCGGCTTCGGGCAACAACAGCGAACACACCTCCTTCCCCAAAAGTCACTCACCCGTGCTGTTCCTGTAGAAGCTCATCTCGATTGGCTGTCAACCGATGATGAGCCTGATCCTCGTAAAATGAGGATGCCAGAATAATGCTGCCAATCTTCTATATCTTCTATATATAAAAAATGGAAACTCAGACCCCCATTTTCTGGGAAGGACTTTTGCTTTACGGCTTCCTCCTTTAATAAGGGTGCTGCGAAGCGTCAGGCGGCAAAACTCGTAGCCGTGCTATCGCTCCAGGTTTGCCTGCTATTCTCCGATTTACCTCGTATGGCTAAAATGTCTGCATTTCGTCTTTTCTCCCAGCTTCGCTCCGTGACATTGGCATTTTAGATGAGGACCACTTTTCGTGAAAGTTGCCTCACGTTGGACCCATTTTTCTTTCTTTTTTCGAAAGAATTTCAAAATTTTAACAACATTTATGATTGAGAGATTTTTCTATTTTCCGCCTCTTAAAGGTACCGTCTACTCTAACTTAGGAGTGCGGAGCTTTCGACAGCTTACGATATTAGGACCCCTGCGAAGCCAATGCTCAAATCGCGAGGCAAAATGTCGCTTCGGACGCGAGAATACCGCTTCGGAATGTCGAAGAGGCACGAGAGTGCAATTCGGCACTGCCTCCTCCAGTAATGCCCGCCCCTCCGCTGAAACATCCAGTCCCCGCTGCGGAAAATCGGCTTCGGGCAACAACAGCGAACACACCTCCTTCCCCAAAAGTCACTCACCCGTGCTGTTCCTGTAGAAGCTCATCTCGATTGGCTGTCAACCGATGATGAGCCTGATCCTCGTAAAATGAGGATGCCAGAATAATGCTGCCAATCTTCTATATCTTCTATATATAAAAAATGGAAACTCAGACCCCCATTTTCTGGGAAGGACTTTTGCTTTACGGCTTCCTCCTTTAATAAGGGTGCTGCGAAGCGTCAGGCGGCAAAACTCGTAGCCGTGCTATCGCTCCAGGTTTGCCTGCTATTCTCCGATTTACCTCGTATGGCTAAAATGTCTGCATTTCGTCTTTTCTCCCAGCTTCGCTCCGTGACATTGGCATTTTAGATGAGGACCACTTTTCGTGAAAGTTGCCTCACGTTGGACCCATTTTTCTTTCTTTTTTCGAAAGAATTTCAAAATTTTAACAACATTTATGATTGAGAGATTTTTCTATTTTCCGCCTCTTAAAGGTACCGTCTACTCTAACTTAGGAGTGCGGAGCTTTCGACAGCTTACGATATTAGGACCCCTGCGAAGCCAATGCTCAAATCGCGAGGCAAAATGTCGCTTCGGACGCGAGAATACCGCTTCGGAATGTCGAAGAGGCACGAGAGTGCAATTCGGCACTGCCTCCTCCAGTAATGCCCGCCCCTCCGCTGAAACATCCAGTCCCCGCTGCGGAAAATCGGCTTCGGGCAACAACAGCGAACACACCTCCTTCCCCAAAAGTCACTCACCCGTGCTGTTCCTGTAGAAGCTCATCTCGATTGGCTGTCAACCGATGATGAGCCTGATCCTCGTAAAATGAGGATGCCAGAATAATGCTGCCAATCTTCTATATCTTCTATATATAAAAAATGGAAACTCAGACCCCCCATTTTCTGGGAAGGACTTTTGCTTTACGGCTTCCTCCTTTAATAAGGGTGCTGCGAAGCGTCAGGCGGCAAAACTCGTAGCCGTGCTATCGCTCCAGGTTTGCCTGCTATTCTCCGATTTACCTCGTATGGCTAAAATGTCTGCATTTCGTCTTTTCTCCCAGCTTCGCTCCGTGACATTGGCATTTTAGATGAGGACCACTTTTCGTGAAAGTTGCCTCACGTTGGACCCATTTTTCTTTCTTTTTTCGAAAGAATTTCAAAATTTTAACAACATTTATGATTGAGAGATTTTTCTATTTTCCGCCTCTTAAAGGTACCGTCTACTCTAACTTAGGAGTGCGGAGCTTTCGACAGCTTACGATATTAGGACCCCTGCGAAGCCAATGCTCAAATCGCGAGGCAAAATGTCGCTTCGGACGCGAGAATACCGCTTCGGAATGTCGAAGAGGCACGAGAGTGCAATTCGGCACTGCCTCCTCCAGTAATGCCCGCCCCTCCGCTGAAACATCCAGTCCCCGCTGCGGAAAATCGGCTTCGGGCAACAACAGCGAACACACCTCCTTCCCCAAAAGTCACTCACCCGTGCTGTTCCTGTAGAAGCTCATCTCGATTGGCTGTCAACCGATGATGAGCCTGATCCTCGTAAAATGAGGATGCCAGAATAATGCTGCCAATCTTCTATATCTTCTATATATAAAAAATGGAAACTCAGACCCCCCATTTTCTGGGAAGGACTTTTGCTTTACGGCTTCCTCCTTTAATAAGGGTGCTGCGAAGCGTCAGGCGGCAAAACTCGTAGCCGTGCTATCGCTCCAGGTTTGCCTGCTATTCTCCGATTTACCTCGTATGGCTAAAATGTCTGCATTTCGTCTTTTCTCCCAACTTCGCTCCGTGACATTGGCATTTTAGATGAGGACCACTTTTCGTGAAAGTTGCCTCACGTTGGACCCATTTTTCTTTCTTTTTTCGAAAGAATTTCAAAATTTTAACAACATTTTCGTTTAAGAGCATCCCTTTTACTTTTCAATAGTATCATTTTCGGCAGTGTATCTTCAGTAATCGCTGAGTTATGAGCGTTTAAAGTTAGGTCCTTCAGAAATTTTGCAATTTTTGGCAATTTCAAGGTAACCGCACTTCTGAGCATGCTCGAAGTCTGTGAATTGTCAGTGACTGTTTGCAAAAGGGCTGAAAATAGATTTTGTTCTTTTCTGGGTTCATATATATTTGTGTGCCAAGTTGCAAGTCGTTCGGCCAAAACAGAAAAATTTACACACATCATCGCCATACACCTCGCGAGAAGAGTTGTTGACCACTTTTTCACAATGCGTCGTTTATAAGTTACTAGCTGGCTTTCCCGATCCAACCCAGGTATCGTTTAGGACGATGGTCAAAAAATTACCACAATCTTTCCTTCCCTTCTATTCGATCGGGTCAGCCAAGTTTTCTGCTCTCTTCCTGCAATGCAATACTTCACTGAAAACGCCCTTTCCTCCACTTCCCTCCCCCTCCTACTCTCTCGCATAATCTTACCTCAGAAAGGTTGTCTGAAAGACTGGATCTTCTTCACTGCGATATGAAAATGAACTCTATTGCATCGTTTACACTGGAATATGTAATGAGCCTTGATAGGGCTGATAAGGGTTCACTCTCATCAAAAAAGTGCCAAGAATCAATCTCTATATATATAAAACTCAAAGTGTGTTTGTCTGTTAATAAGTATGTTTTTTATACAATTC